GAAATTCTTTAACATGGTGGCTCTAGTTTTCAACAGCATCATTGATATAACATTATCTAGTTTGATCACCATTAAAAGCTATTGTGGATAGCTACGTTGTTTTTGGCCTTCTTGGGCCTGGCTTCAATTAATTTTGTTTTACTTTGAAAATAAAAGATTCTTTATAAGGAGGCAATATTTTATTTACTTGAGACTCAATAGTTTTTCATGGGATGTGCTCCTTTTTTTTTCACTTGTGAGCTTGTTGTTTATGCTTTTTTGACATCTTTGTATAAATATTTATGTTTTTCTTTATAAAAAGTATTTGTAGTTTCTTATTGGGACTACCAAACGTCTGCCCCTATGGTTACACTTTAGCTGCCTTAGGGATGAACTAGTCCCTTATATTTGTTTCCACCTTTCAATCTGTTGGCCATTTTATTTTATTTTTTGTTGTGGCTGGCAACACTTTGGTGGGAAATACTTTACAAAAGCACAACCTACAACCAATAATTCAAATTTGAAGGTTAAAATGATTTTTGAAGCTCTAATGATTGTTTAATGATAATTATGCATTTTTAGTGAATACATCTCTTTCAACCTTATGCTGTATAATTTCATGATGCTTATTGGGAACAATGTTAAAGTAGGTTTATTGTTTTTTTTTCTCTGATTGCTTCTTGATTATTTTTTTCTGATGTTTATGGTGTTAATGGGCTTCTCATTAAGAGTCTAACAGCAGTTGCCATCCATGGTATCCTGTCTGCCGCATGGAGCCTATATTGATGGCCTGTGGAAGATTGCTTTTGGATCTTTTTGTTTTTTATCCAGATGCCACAATAACACGCAACAGTTCTTTTTTACTTTTTCATCATTTTATTTTTTCTATCATTTTAGTTTTCACAAGATGCTATGGTTTAATTTGTAAAATATGGCTCTAAGTCAGACAACGGGGGCTGTGTTGCTCGATATCAAGCTTCCTTTTGCATGGAGCCAAGATGGATATGATGGCACAGCTGCACGATGGAAGTAGTTGCATTTCATGGCTTTTCATTTCCATTAAAGTTTCAAGCTGTTACATCAAACATATTTTTTTCTTCCGATTTTATGTTAGAAGTGTTTTTAGGTCTTCTGCTTCTGATTTTATGTTAGAAATACACATTTTGGATGCTCAAGTTTTAAATAGGGAACTAAGAATTTCTTCATTCTCGTTCTTTTGAAGCATAAATATAAGCAAAAAGGTTCTAAAGTCATTCTATTCAAATAAATTGGTAGTATGTAAAATCAATATAACTTAAATCCAAGGTGAAGGGACGAGCGTTAAAAAAAATCCACGACTGATGAAAAAAACAATCTTGAATTTCTTATAAACATGAATTTCAACAAAAGTTACAATCTGATGTAAAATACTTGTCAACCTTTTTGAAAAACAAATGTCATCATAAGCTGTTTTAATTTTAAATACTTTTTAAAGCTTTTTACTGAATAAAATTTTAGGAAGAGTTAACACTAATTAATCACTCCTAAACCATCTTCCAAAAGAATCGAGTCTTTGGGAAAGTCAGTGATGAAAGGCCCTCACAACCTTAGATTCCATTGATCTAATAATATGACGGGCCCCATATAATGTGAGTTTCAACAAAAAAGTTAAATCCTTCATTAAGGGCTTTTTGGCACCTCATTCTTCGCACTGTGCGGCCCGACAACTTTATTTTACTTTATTTTCTTTGCCTGGGTAGTGCGTCACAGTGGAGATTTTGATAATTTTTGATAAAATTTGGTATTCTTTCTTTTTTGTTCGGTTTTTTACTGCCCTATCTCGAGAGGTGTATTGTACTTCTCTTTCTCGGGGGCTTTTTGTTCGTGTCTTGCTGTCCTCACTCTTGCCATTCTGTCCTAAATGTAACTTCCCTTCTCTCCTTTCCCATGCATGGCGCCGTTTGCAAGGGTTTGCTTGTCTTCTCCTCTCCTTATATCCCATCTATTTTTAGGCTTCTTTTGGTTTCATTTCTCTACCTCGGCCCATTGTATTCTCTACCGTTTTCTATTGTGATTTTTTTAGCTTTTCTAAGTTCTATTCGGTTGATAGGTGGTTGTGCATAGGCGTTGGATTTTGCAATTTGGTTGATTTTGGTTTTTGCGATTTTTTTTATTTGTGATGCGGTATTGGCTTTTTCTGAGAATCTGTGGAGGAGAAAGGGGAGGTGAGGTAAAGATTGAAGGATTCAGAGGATGTTCTCAATGTAATGAGAATGGATTAGTTTGATGCCCTTTTTGTTGCTAGTGATTATGTGATGCAAATTGTTTCATGGAGGATAAGAGATAGTTGCAAATTAACTGTATGGTGGATATTGAAGGTTCTGAAGAAAAAGAGGTAACAGTTTTTGTAGGCCAATTTTACCGTGAATGTGCTTTGTGGTTTTTTATTTTGTTCTATTTTTAATAAAGCGTTGCTGCTTTATTGAGAGCAACATTTAATACTCGAAATGCATCAATGAGTGAAACCATGAGCTTTCATTTGCTTTTGTGGAGGTTGTGTTGTGGAAGTGTGGTTGTGATTTGTGGACGTTGTGTGGTTGTGTGTGGAGTTAAGAACATAGTGGTTGTGGAGTTATGGTCCATGATTGTGTTGTTGTGTTTGCTAGTGTGTGGTTGTGCGTTGTTTGAGTTTGTGGAGGTGAAAAACTAGCTATGGGTATGTGGTGTTTGGAGGTTTTTTATTATTTTCTATTTTTAATAAAAAATTGCTACTTTAATGATAGCAATATTTAGTACTTGAAATGCATCAAACCATAAGCTTCCATTTGCTTTTGCGGAGGTTGTGTGCTGTATGGATGTTGAGTGTGTTTTTGTGTTTTGTGGAGTTTGTGTAGGGCTGTGGTTGTATAGTTTTGTGGTTGTGTGTAATTGTATTTTTTGGTGTGGTTGTGTGGTGTGTGGTTGAGTTTGTGGAGGTGAGAACACGGTGGTGGCGTGTGGAGGTGAAAACCTAGCTGTGGTATGTGGTATGTGGTATGTGGTGTGTGGTGTGTGGAGGTTTTTTATTATTTTCTATTTTTAATAAAACAATGCTACTTTAATGATAGCAATATTTAATACTTGAAATGCATCAAAGAGAAACCATGAGCTTCCATTTGCTTTTGCGGAGGTTGTGCTGTATGGAGGTGTAGTGTGGTTTTGTGTTGTGTGGTTGTGTAGCGCTGTGGTTGTATAGTTGTGGTTGTGGAGTGAACATAGGGGTGGTGTGTTGTGTGGAGGTATGGTCTGTGGTTGTATTGTGTAATTGTGTTTTTTGGTTTGGTTGTGGTGTGTATAGGTGTGGAGTTGTTGGTGTGTGGTAGTGTTGATGGTGGTGTGTGGAGGTGCGGAATTGTTGGTGCGTAGTGTATGGAGGTGTGGAAGTGTTGGTGTGTTGTGTTTGTGGAGGTGTTGGTGCTGGTGTCTGGTTATGTGTGCTGTATAGAGGTGTGTGCAGTTGTGTGTGGTAGAGATTGTGTATTTGTGTGGTTGTGTAGTTGTTGTGTGTTTTTTTTTTAGTAGGGCAAGGACCATTAATTTTGTTCAAAGATAATTGGTTTTGCATTATTTGTATTTATTTTTTAGTAAGTTTATTGGATTTCAGGTTTTGATGTTTTCTTTCCTTGGAATAATATTAGTGTTATTTTTTGTTTCTTTATATTGTACATTTTGTGACTTGTTATTTAAGGTTTATTAAAGTTGCTTGTTTAACATGTATTACTTGAACATAGCGCTTAATATGGATTTAGAGAGAGACTTAGAAGAATAATTGTGATTGCAATATGTTTGATATATGAGTACTACATGTCATATGTAGATGATATGTAGATGATGCATCTGGCTCTGATGATGATTTCTTTACAAGCCAAATAGAAAAATTGGTGGCTTTTTGCATCAATCATCCTGGGACGACCTCCATTAAAGAAGTATATTAAAGATGTGTTATTTTAGTTGATTTAATATACTTCTTTAATATACTTTAATATGATTTTACTCATAATTTTGAACAATTTTAATTCAAATGAAATTAAATTGTATTATTGAGTCTGATAAAAACAAGCACCGAGTTTGTCTTTTGTCCAAATTGCTTTCATCATAACATGCATTTCACTTATCCATCCACTTGGTCCTAAATACTAAGGGTCTGTTTGGGGTAGTTGCAACTTATTGAATAATCTGCTGATAAACTGATTAAAAATAATCTGTTGATTAACTGATTAAAAATAATCTACTGATAAGTTCGGTGCGGTAGCTATTACAAATTTTTATTTTTTTTGGAAAAACAAAACCGCAGTCAGAAAGCTGCCATCGCAGGTATGATAAGGCTGTTTTCAACATTTTGAAAACACATAAGTTGATAAAACACAATTTATTTAAACAGATCAGGTGCGTTTTCAAAACGCCACCGCACCAAAATAAGTTGCCCCAAACTAACCCTAAGACTCCAAGTGATTAATGTTTATCAAATCCTTAAAATAGTTGCATCACATTTATCTCATTAAAAGCAAGATAATTTTCTAAAACTAAAAAAAGTTGAACGAAGAATAAAATGCCTCAATTTTATCGAGAAAAAGAAATATACATAAAATTTTCAAACTATATAGTCATTAATATTGACAATGATTATTCATTAAATGCATATATTGTTATGAATAAAAAACTTGATAATTTTTTTTCAAAAATATTAAATTTATATAATATTGCAGAATTATTGTAAATTATATGATTAACAAATAGATATTACATAATTTGATAATGAATAATTAATCAATATAAAAAATGTGATGAATTGTATATGTTGGATAATGATGTAATAATTTGTAAATTTAATTAAAAAATAAATAGATATTAATAAAATAAATATAAAGTAATAAATTAAATTTAAAATACTATTAATATTTTAATATATGATATTAGATTTATAATTACATAAAATCTATTTAATCAAATTTTATTTAATATTATAGTATATATAATATGGGTTATTTGTTGAAGAACAAATGTATTGGCTCTTGAAAATAAATAAATTAATAAAATCATATTTATGTTTAGTTCATTTAATCTGAGCTTTTAAGAACATTCACATTTTTTAATTTATTAATTTCAACAAATATAATTAAGTCGAGCCGAGTTTGTGTTGTTCATCTCGTGCATTGCTTAATTTGTGGACTAGTTATGAAGTTTATGGAGCACAGATGACCCGCCCGAATTACTTTACAAGACTCGCGGACTAACACCTCCCTTTAAACCCTTACACGCGCCGTTCCAACTCATAACGGCTAGTTTCAGATACCGAAGCTCAACGGCTCCTTAACGTTCTTTTAAAACTGATAAAAGTTAATACTCGCAATCTTCAGAAGTTCAATCAAGTCTTACAGACAAACGGCCATCAGCTCCAGTTCCATCTTCCCGCTCCTCTTCCCTCCTCTTCCACCCTTCTCTCTCTCACCCTTTGGCCTTTCTTTGCTTGGCTTTGGCAGTAGAAATGGAAAATCCCAGCTTAGCAGTAGTAGAGGAAGTCGAAGATTTCTATGAGAGGATTGAAGCCCCAAAGTTCGTTGATTTCACCATCTCTGACAGCTCTTTTCCGGACCATAGGTCTTGGTTCTGTGCTCGCATCGGTTTGTCCTCTTAACATTTTCCCACTCTCTGATTTCATGATGTGGGGTTTAAATTGAGCTCTTACCATGGTGACTCTAGTAAATATCTGTTTTTTATCATTTCACTAACTCAGGTTGTGACCAGAAACATGAAGAGATAGATCCTGACGAGCTGAGACGAAGTTTCATGCTACGGGTTTGTAAACCATAAATAAAATTTTCCTCCTTTTGCTACTTCCTATTAGTTCTTTTTGTACTATTAATTTTGCAAGTAATATAGGTTATGACAGCTAGAAGTCCAAATGTAAGGTTTCAGAGAGCATTGAACAGGCAGGGTTTAAGGTACCGCTAGCATTTAAAACAATCCTTGTTTCCAAACGCTTTTTTTTTATTTTTATTAATTTCTGTACTCATATAAAATACAGAGCAAACACAAAATGCCCACAATCAGTCCCAGCTAAATCAACCAAAAATGGAATTTCCAGAATGAGTACCCTGAATTCAATCAAAGAGAAAATCACTATGTCCAAGCTAAAGCAACATCCGATAAGTAGTTTTAGAGAGACACCGATTCAGAAGAGAGCAAAATTGCCTACATTGACAAGTGAGAAGAAACAAAACACAACCAGCAAGAAAAACTCACATGCCAAATACCTGAAGATACCTGATACTTTTGTGGCGTCAAAGGATAGAAATTTGGTCAAGTCAGCTGGGTCAAGTAAAGTTCCAATTTCAAAGATTTGTTCTGATAAGAAGAAAAAGAAGAAGATAAATACAGGAGGTGAAAGCAAACGTATGAGCCCATGTTCTTATGCAATTGGTTCCAACAAATGTAAGGGATCTTCCATTTCATCAAAAAACATCACAGCAGTTGGATCAAAGATTGGTAACCACAACATTCTTAGAGAAGCGGAACAGAACGTGATGAAAGGTTTTCAGATTGTTGCAGGAAGTAATGGGCCAGAGAATTTAGTAGAGAACAATACTAATGCAGTAAAGCGAACCAATGAAGAACTTCTAGTTGTCACAAATTATAAAATTGTAAGCCAATCTGAAGCATCAATCAATCCAAGTAAAGATGAAGTAGAAAATAGAGATCTGAAAGTTTCCAGTGGAGTATCCAATCAGACTAAAACTACTTGTAATGTTACCAACGATGATGATAAGGAGAACACTTTGTTCAAAGATTATAAACTTATAAGCGATTCTGAAGCATCAATCAATCCAAGTAAAGATAGAGTAGAAAATAGAGATTTAAAAGTTTCCAGTGGAGTATCCAATGAGATTAAAACTGCTTGTAATGTTACCAACGATGATGATAAGGAGAACACTTTGTTCACTTCTGTAAACAAGTACTATCCACAACTCCAACTTCATACCTGCTATAGTTTCTCATTTTTATACTTATATTCATCTTTTTAATGACAATTTATGTCAGCAATCTGCAGCCAAAGGTGGCAATTTCTAAGGTTAAGAGCTTGCAGTTTCAGAATTCAAATCCTCAGGTAAATCTATATTTGATTGTTTCAGCATTCTTCATTCTTCCTTGTACCTACTGTTAACAACTTAGCACTTGGAATCAGGAAGCTCAAAACAAAGCTTTCCAGGCAGTAAAACCCAAGAGAACAACAAACCCCAAACCTTTCAGATTAAGAACAGATGTGAGTCCTACTAGTTGATTAATATGACCACTGTATACTACTACTTGGTAATTTATAAAGCGTGACATTTTCATCCACTGAATCAGGAAAGAGGAATTCTTAAAGAGGCAAATTTGGAGAGGAAGCTCAAAGTTGAGTTCAGGAAAGAACCTGCAACACTGTTCAACAATGTACATGGGATTCAGCTCAGCTTGTTCTAAATTTTGGTTTTCTAATTTGATGATTGAGAAAAATGCACTAAGCATATATAGTGCACGCTGGTTTCACCTTAGCCTGTAGTATTATCCGTTTTATTTTCTCTAACCTCCTGAATTCATTCATATTGTTAAATTTTCAGATACAAGAAACAAATTCTCAAGCCAAATTTGCCAATAGTACACAGGCTCACAAGGTAAACTAAATTACAGGAATATGTTCATCAACCATGGTTTTTTTGGTTAGTTGTTAATGATTAGAAGTCTATGGTGACAGCAGCTGGATAGTAAAAAACAGAAGATAATACAAGAATCACATTGTAAAAGTTTAAAAATGGCATCAACGAAGCAGCAACTGAAGATCACAAGGTTCTTTTTCAAATATAAAATATCAAATCAATGCAATAAACTAAACTAAAGGGAATGTTATTATTCAATGGGACAAATTGAAAATTTTACCAAATTATCTTAATTTCTCAATGCAGTGCAGGGGAGGAAAGAAAGGCTCCCGGCTACATGCAAGGAAGAAAGCCTGCAAAAATTCCCAAGGAACCAAAGCTCCAGCTGCAAGGAAAAGGGCCTGCAACAATTCCTCTGCAACAATTCCCAAGGAATCAATGCTCCACCTGCAAGGAAAAAAGCCTGCAACAATTCCCAAGGAACCAATGTTCCACCGAATCCATGTGCCGAAGAACTGCATCAGGAGGAGGTTTGAAATGGCCGCTTCATGAAATTTAATGTACTCTAGTGTACCAAATTCATGTGTAATGAAAATATTAATATTAAAGATTGTTATTACAATCAATATCTAGTTCATGAAAGAGGGGGGTGGGCGGGGGTGTTGCGGTGGGGGTAGATAAAATATATGCAAATTGGATATGATTTTTTTGTAGAAAATAAGAAATCATATTTTTCTACTTATTTCAAGTAGGTAGCATGTTTTAGTTTCTCAGTGTTTGTTTCTTGAATTGTGGGGATGAGAGAGTCGGGCTGTGACTTCATCCAATATATACAACAAATCAATTTGGGCTACTGGCTACTACTCAATTAGCAATATATGCTACTAATAATATTCAATCAGTAGCATTGTAATATTATAAGAGAAAATGTATGAACTCACCCAAAATTTTTGAGGGGAATTACAACACTGTTATGGTATGGCTCATATATCATATCGGGACAGACGCTGGATCGAAGCGGAGCAGAGCGGAGCGGAAGAATCTGTCCAAATTGGGAAGTTACGTGGGTTGGGGTGCGGGGGCAAAGCCCCGCGGTTTGGTACAGGGGTAATGTAGTAATTACATATTGTGCCTAGGTTTACTCCTGGGGTTATAAATATGCCTGTTAGTAACCCCAGGAGGGATCCTCTATTCTGTAACATTTTTTTTGAATATTGAAAGGAAATCGCCGTTCTGCTCCCGAGGACGTAGGCATTTTTGCCGAACCTCGTTAAATCTCTGTGTTCTTCTGGATTTGTGTCTGATTACTGTTTTCTTCGCCCTTATTTTCTCAACAAGTGGTATCAAAGCCAAGGTTCGAGGGCAAGGGAAGAAATTTCGTCGGCGCAAGGAAGAAGATTTGGCGGATAGGGTAGAGTTCTGCCAGAGGAGGTCCGAGCAGAAGTTTCGCCAACGGGCGAGATTTGCGAACGGCGGATCTTGCAGGACGCAGGCACAGGTTTTCGTGCGAAGGGTAGAAGTTTCGCGTGAAGGGGTTTTTGGATCGGGGCTTTTTCGCGACGCAAGAGGAAGGGAGTTCCGGGCAGGCAAAAGAGTTTTTCGGCGGAGGCTTGCGACAGGTAGAAGCAGCGAAAAGCGGAGGCTTCTACGACAGGCCGAAGGATCGCGAAGGAGGCTTTGCGGCAGAAAGAGGAGCTCTCGCCTTCGCAGGTCCGGCTTAGGCGTTCGCGGGTTCAGGAAAAGGAGGAACGTAGGCCGCAGCTGCCAATCGCGCGCGCAGAGGGGAGCTCGGCGCTGATCGCGAACGGAAAAGGAAAGGAGCGGAGGCCAGGAACGGAAAGGATCGGAGGAGGAATCAAGGGAATATTCCTTATATTTGGTTCCTATATTTGCCGGAAAGGAGGCTGCTGCTCTGGAGAAATTGGAAAGGAATTATTTCCCATCTTGCAAATTGGAAAGGAATTATTTCCCATCTTGCAAATTGGAAAGGAATTATTTCCCATAGAATAATATTCTCTTGGTGCTACAGGGAGGCGTAATTGGAGCTTTTGTCTCCAACTAAAGGAAAGTTTTTTTTTTAATTAAATTATTTTAATTAAATTAAGCAAATTTAATTAAGAATTTTTTTTGCTGGATAAGAGGAGGAAATAAAGGAAATATTTTTTTTTTCTTGGAGGCGGAGAGAAAATTTTTTGCTTTGCTCGAAGATTTCAAATTTTTTTTTTTCTTCAAAAAAAAAAAAAGTCACGATCCTTCCTCAGTCGTTGCCACAAGTCATGGTTATCTCAAACGTTTCTCCACTGATCTCGGGACCGATAGTTGTTGTTTTGGTGGCCGACAGATTGATTATCCTTCACCCTTTGTTGTTTGCCCTGTTCTTTTCGCTTCTTTGACGAGTGGTTCGATGATTCCAGCTTACACTTCGGGGAGCTGTGGAGGTCATCTTTGGTGAGTATGTGCTCGTTCGCCATCTCCAATAATTCTGAGAAAGTATTAGGTTTAAACAGATTTAGGTCATACATGAATCACTTGCTTCAAACTTCTAGCTTCAAGGTTGTTTCAGCTATTTCTGGCTTTAGGTTTCTGACTTCCAGCATCTCGTTTTGGAAGAGGGTGATGTAGGTCCGTAGACTCTCATTTTCTCTCTAATTGAGGTTGAGCAGGGTGTCTGAGTCTTTCCTTGGCTTATGCACATTTGAGAAGTGTGAAATAAACAATCTTTTAAACTTGTAGTAACTTTGGATGGTTTTGGTCGGCAGACCATTGAACTATCAAAGACTCGCCTCTTTCAGAGTGGTTAAGAAGAGACGACCCATTATTGGGTAGTCAATCTGGAGTCGACCGGCGGATGATTCGAATGATGTGATCTGGTCGATCAGGTCGGTGCTCCCTTTGTCAGAATCCAAGCGAGAAATCCTTAGATTGGGCGAAGGTATCACTTCTTTGATTTGGCGAGTAAAGGCTCCTCTTGCGAGTGGCCGAATAGACACTTGCATTTGTTCTTCCCATCACATGTTTTTCTGCGCATATGCGGTTGTGTTGGTGTGTTGGGACTCACCCTCTCCCTCTGCTTGCTGGTTGCTGAACTGATTGTGTGGAATATGCAGGTTCCCTAGCGGGGAGCCTGTGAGGATGAATCCTTTGAGGTTCTGCTTTCAGGCGAGACGCTTGGTCATTCCTCTAGGTGATCGCTGCACGAAGGACCTCAAATTGCTCCATCATGAGGCTCCCTTGGGCTTGCAAGCCCTAGATTTGCATATGGACATCTGGTTGTGTAGCGTCTCTATCAAGTTTCGTGTGTGATGTGTCTCTTTAGAAAGTTTATCCTTCGTAGTTTGCTCCGCTTCTCGTCTGGGATATGCCCACGCTCATTGTATCACCTTTAAGGATATTGGATCCTGGATTGTTTTTTGTAAAAACACATCAAGAGTTGGAGTTGAGTGAAAGAGAGAAAGAAAAGAGAGAGAGTAGAGCCAGCCTGGAATTCCTTGTCTCAAGAGTCCCCTTTATTCATATTTTTGTTCCTTTTTTATGGGGATGTATTTTGTACAATTACTGAAAAGAGTGAACAATTATGAAAACTGCTCTTAATGTGATTAATGCAAAAGTTATTTGTATGAGTTTCTTGCTGCATTACATCTTGATGTCGACCGACCTAGTGGCGAATGTGCCTTCTGACATACATGTTGGTCAGTCGAGGTGCTTGGCCACACGACAATCTCGTTAGTCATGGATCAATCGGTCTGCTGCGGTCGGGTGCTCTTACGTGCCTCTTTGTCCGTCGGAATAGCAGGTGTGAGTCTCTTATCGCAGGAGACCGCTCAAAATTTTTCCTTTCGGGACGGTAGTAAGGTGATAGGACACTCTGTTTGCTTGACCTCCTCCGTTTGGGCCGTTTAATGACTTTGAGATTCGTGCTAGTATTTTTGGTGTGCACATGTAACCTTTTGAGAAAGAAACGATAATAAAATCTAATATTAAAAAACTAATTTGGCTAATGCTCGGAGAATATCAATGGCGAAAGTAGATTATGTCCAGGGTGAGTAATTTCCCCCCTAAAAAATGAGATTTCTCTAAATAAATAATAAAAATTTTCATTTTTTTTCTTATGTCTAATTTATGCTATTTAGTAATTTTGAGAAATCTAATATTAATAAACTAATTGACTCATGTTTTGGGAAATTACATGGGCAGAAATAGATTATGCCCTGAGTGGGTAATTTCTCCCACTCAAAAACGTTAATGCGCCCTGACATACACAACTTTACATGGGCCCAACTCTTCTCATTGATTACATTTTCATCTTTTAGCCCATTAAATAAGGCCCACGTAGACTACTAGACAAAAAGAAAACAGATGGAAGTATCTCTCTTTATCCCGCATTTTGGTTCTTCAATCAGTCTAATTGTTAATTATGCTCATAATTGTTTTTAATTGCCACATTTTAATGCCTAGGTTATCATGTTGGTGTTCATATAAGAAGATAAATCACTACACAGACATGTAGGTCTTCTTCACATTGACAGAGGGTCTTATGCTTAATTATGTATCATATCAAGATAAGAAAACTCTAGTTTAATAATGCTTAATGAGGCCTTAAATTAAAATGTTGATTTTATAGCTTAATTGGGCCTTACTAGATTTGTCATATAGTTTAGTACACTATTTATATAGTTTTTTAGAGAATGTATGGGCTTGCTTTTTATATGTTAAAATGATTTCTAGAATAATATTCTAGTCATGCTAAATAGGGTTGTAAATGGAACAATGCATCTGATGAACAACTTAAACTCTGCTCGATTAATACTCGATCAAGTTTGTTAAGATTAGAAAATAAACAAGTTTAAACGTTTTTAAAAAAACACGAAAGATTAAGTGAATGAAAGAGAAACATGATTCAACTCATTTATTAATGCTGAATAAATTATTTAATTTGTTGTTCAACAAGAAATTATTAAATGATATATAACTATATGGTATATTTTTTAAATAACAAATTATTAACTATAATTTATTTAATTATATATTTAATAGTAACATATTATAATTTATTTAATTGTATATTTAGATAAAAATTTTATTAACTATAATTTATATCATTTAATTGTAAGGAAACTTATGATATATATTATTTTATTTAATTGATGTAAAATATTAGAATATTAATTCAAAATTTATCCAATTGTTGATCTGTTTAGAAATACATGTGTTAATAACTTATAAAATAAGTTATACTCATTCAAATTTTTAACTTGTTTATTAAAAATTAAATTACTTGTCCAACTAAAACTAACTAGTGAGATAATAATCAAGTAAAGTTTTTATGAGTTTGAAAGGAGCAAAGTATGAACATACATGTGAAAGTTAGATTCCAGCTGAACACAAATGAATTATAATATGACCAAACCAAGAACCGTCCACCATATATTGGGTTCAATCTAGCTCGATTAATGGATATTTCCAAGCATTGAGTTGGCATACAATGGAAGGGTTTAAGTTTTTCTTATGGAGTTAATTAAATATTTTTTTACAATAAAATAATGTCATTTAAGATTACATCATAATGATTAACCATTTAGGATCATAATCATAAATTACATTAATAATCATTCAATTAATTCCTAATTAGAAAATTTTAGCTAAAAATGT